GGAGTCAATGAATATTGGAGGTATAACGAAATTGAACTAAAAAATTCCATTTTAGAAGAAGAACAAGTAAATAATTTTCTTAATAAATCTAAACACCTCTTAAATAACCTTTCTCCATCACTTTTTATAAATATTATTGATATTGGAAAACAAACTTATGAAAAAGAATTAGAGGTATTAACAATATCAGAAAAGAAAAGTTGGTTAGATATTGAAAGTAGAATGTCATGGATTATTTGTGGTATTACTGGAAATGGTGAAGAAATTCCTTCATTATGCTGTTTACCAAAAACAGAAATTGAAGAATTAAAATTAGTTTTTGAATATAACACAATATTTGTTGAACAAGAATTACCTGGATTAAATAAAAAGAGTATTAACTTATGGATGAAAGAATATATTATTCCTTGGATTAATTACATAAAAAAACGAGATGAGATTAGTAGTGAAGCAGTAATAATGTTAGAAGAAGGAATGAATAATTTTTTTGACTATGAAGAACTTAATAAACAAAAAATACACTTATTAATTGTTCCAAAAGGAGGAAGAAGTGTTATGCCAATAATAGAATTAGAAAATAAAATTGAATTGGAATGGCTCAGTTGGGGAGAACTGAGTAAAAGAAATAAACAAACATTTAGTTTTGGAGTATTAAACATTCTCAAATACCTAACAAAACAAGAGATTAAAGAGATGTTTGATAAAATATGGATAAATAACAATCAAAAATTCTCATTAATAAGAAGTGTTGTCTTTGAAACTTGTATCCCAAAACTTATAACCAATGAATTTGATAAAATTAATATATTCATAGAAGATAATATTGATGCTATAACAAACTTCGATCTTAAAAATATTGAACCTTATTTAAAAAAAACAATTACAAAAATTATTACTTCTTCACAGTTCTTAACATTTAAAACAAAAAGGAGTCAAATAGAATATTGTTTTAATCAATATCCATTATACGCTGAAAAACTACTTCAGTGTATGAGAATAAATTCAACTAATAGTGAACAACAGTACTTTCCTGAAAAATATGAAAATGACTAAAAAAGTATTTCTGTTTTATATCTCCGTATTTAATAACAAATAAACCTATATCAGGGTTTTTCAAAAACATAAAAAAAGAAACTTAATAAATACAAAGAAAAATGGCAGAAGAAGAAACTGTTAAAATTGATGAAGTAATCAACGAAAAAGAAAGAAAGAAATTAGAAAAGAAAAAGAAAAGGGAAGAAGAAGAAAGGGCTAAGCTTGAAATGATGACTGAAGAGGAAAAAATCGCTTACAATAAGAAAATGGAAAAAATTAAACAACAAGAAGAACGTGCTGAATCTAAACAACACCAGGAACATAAAAAACAACAACACAAAGTTATAAGTGAAGAAGGACCTAAAAAAGTTAAAAAATCAAAACCACAACCACCACCCACAGCTTTCCAATTACATAAAGCTGATACTGAATTAGGAAACAAACCATGGAAAGAATTATCTGTTGAACAAAAACAAAAATTCTTAACAATGGAAAAAGAAAAAAAAGCAGAGTATGATGAAGCAATGAAAGAGTATCAAGAAACTCAAGAAGTCTTGAACAGAGCAGCTGAAAAGAAAAAAGCAAAAAAGGTAGTAAAGTCAAAAAAAGGAAAAAAAGATGAAGAAAGTAGTGATGAAGAAAGTGAAGAAGAAGAAAAAAAACAACCAATCAATAAAGAAACGAAAAAAGCAGTTAAAAAAACTACTAAAAAGAAAAATAAAAAGGGAAAGAAAAGAGAGGAAGAAGATGATAGTGATGATGATAAATATGAGTTAGGTAAATTAAATGAAACAATTCCTGAACCAAAAAAGAAAGGTAAAATTGTTGAAATTAGTGATATTCCTAAAAAGAAAGGAGGAAAGGGATCAGTCGATGATGACTTCATGGCTGCCTATCTTGGAATGCAGCATAATAGAATTGGAGGAGAAGGTGTTATTGATCTTGATGAATTGATTAGAAAAACTGAAGAAGACCAAAAAGCTGATGAAGAAGCAGTAATTACTAAAACAGAAAAAGTAGAAAAGAAAGAGAAAAAGAAAGAAAAGAAAGTTACAAAAAGAAAGAAAGTTGAGATGATGGATTTCTCTTCTGTTGCAAAGAAGTAGAAAAAAGGATAGGCTAAGTAAATATGGAGTGAATGGAATAGAACAACAGGAATTAATTAAATTTATTATTAATTTCCTTTAAAATTTTATTTATAGTTTTATAATAATAAATTTAATAATTTAAAATATAAGAGAAAAATAAAAGAAAAAATAAAAAGGAAGTTATGGAAGAAGAAACACAACATAATGAAATTTACCATAATACATTAAAAAAAACTATTGAACAATTGGAACATAAAAGTATTAAAGAAAAAGTAATGAAAAATACATTCCAATTGTTTATTATCCTTTCTGAGTTTCATCAAAAACAGTATCAAATGAAAAGTGTTTTTCTTAATGGATTAACTCTTTTTTTAATACAAGTTATTAAAAATAAATATACTCAAAATGATATTCAATTTAAAAATGAAATTGTTATGAAAGAGTTTGAAGATCAAACAATTCAAAATAAATTTATTAATTGGTGTAATAAAACAGTTGCATTATGTACGTTAAATGATAATTATTTAAATATATTATTTAATTATTATTCTATAATAATTTTTGATATTCAACACTACTTTGAAATTTTTAATCAATATGATTCTGAAGCTTGTAAATGGTTAAATTCATTTAAACAATTACTAATACAATTTTTTAATGTTCCTTGTTCATTCGATCCTTTGAAACAAAATGAACAAATAAATGGAATAGTTGATTTAGATAATACTAACAACTCAAAAGAAAGACTTTCATCTGAAGATAGTATATTACCAATAGTCCAAGAGATAGAAAATGATTTAGTACTCTTTGAAGATACTAATGCAGCTAAAGTTAGTAAAACAACAACAAAAAGTGGGGCAGTGGTAAGAGAAATTGAAGGTGAAAAAGATATACTTGAACGGTTCCAGGGAAGTTATTTAAATGAGCCATTAGGACAATTAAAATCAAGAAGTGAATGTGATACTCAAAAGTTGTGTTTGAGGAATAGAGATGTTAATGGATTTGGTTTTAGGTCACCATTTATATCTCGACTAGTTGCTCACGAAAAAATAATAGATGATAAACAGGATAAGAATAATCTTAAAAGAAAAGAAAAAATTACTATAAATGAAACAAATGAAGAAGAACAAAAAATGGATGAAATGATTCTCAAAACACAAAAAGAAATGGACCGTCAAATGAAAGAAAGAGAAGATAAAAATTTACAAATTATTTCTTTGTTACATAACCAAGAGTCATATGATAAATCTGTAGTATTATCAGATGAAATAAATAAAAAGAAGTCTCAAGAAAACCAAGAAAAAAAGAAACCAATTCAACCTATTTCAGATCAAAAAGAGGATATTCATAAAAAATTTCAAAGTGATAATAATGAGTTACCTATTCATTTCCAAATTAAAAAATTGTTTCATTCAACTATTGATTCAGTTGTTATAAAAATTAAACAAAAATTCATTGAAATTGTTGATGGTAAAAAAAGAGGAAATCCAATAAGTTGTGTCTTTGATTGTGATGATGAAGGATTAAATATGAAGTGCAATTATCGAGTGTATGTTTATCCATTTGAACAAAGTGTCTTTGACCAACAAACATATCACCATGTTCAAACAGAAATTATTAAAAATAAAGGTCTTGTTTCAAATTATCTTGTTACAATAAATAATACAAAACACCCATTTGTATTTGTTTGTCCAGCAACTCGAATATCAATGTGTTCATTACCAAAAAAGAATTATGTTAAACAACCAAACCTCACAGCCATTTTTCCTATTCCAATTTATCCAGAAAAGAATAATTATTATGTTGTTTATCATAATTATTTGAGAAGATGTGATGAAAAGGATATAATTAGTTTTCATGTAGTTTTTAAAGAAAAATAACTTTTGATTTTATTATAATTTTATTAATTGATATCTTTAGTTTCATAGAATAATTAATATTTTGTTGTGAAATATAAAAACTTCTCTTTTTAAGTTCCTGAATTTTTCAATGATTTCATTTTCTGATTGTTAACAAGAAGATTGTCGAAGACCTCAGACTCAGAGATGACTTGAACAAATCAGTGTCATATAAAAGTTTATAAAAATAAATCATTCGAGATTGATTCTAATATCTTCTTCAATTAAGAATTAATATAGTCTAAATGACAATATTGTATGTCAGTTGTTTTATTCTGAGGGGATGAATAATAAGTTAGATAAAGTTATAAGTTTACATAGAACCTTTTTTTGTTTGATTTCATACGAATTTCATCTGAAATTTCTTAATCTGATTGGGTGGAATACTACAACTTGTCCTTATTGAATAAACAATATTATGTAATGGAAAAGATTAGACAAGCTAGGAACATTCTGTGTTTAAAGTCCAAAGACCTTCAATTATTCCAATTGCTTCGTTAGTTAATGAAAGACAGTAAAATGAGATTGTTATAATCTTTGAGTTATCACTCTTGATGTCTCTTTCACAATTCACACCAGTTGATTGTCAGAAGTATTATGTGATTTCATCAAATAGTAATAAAAGTACAGAACCAAGAACAGAGAGAGATGAAAGTACTAAACCAAACATAATTAAAGAACGTAAATACAAAAAGAAACGATGGGATCCTCAGTTAAAAATTAAAGCTATAAAGAAAGCAGAAGAATTAGGATTAACACATGCAACAAATCATCTTCAAAAAACATATCCAGAATTATATTCAGATTTATGTCCAAGTACACTACAATATTGGGTTCAACAATCAAATATAATAAAAAAGAAAATCATAACGGCTTAAAAATTTATGTTTATTCATTTTTGTTTTTATTCTTATTCATTTTTTTGTTTTATTCAACAAAAATTATTTAAAAAATAAATATTCCTGTTTTTAGAACAATATATTTTAAAGATAGGACAAATAAAGGAAATGGATCAATGAAAAAAAAATCAAGAAGAACTTAAAGAACTAAATAAAATCAACACTAAGAAATGTCGTTAGTTGCAGAACACCAAACTCCAGATAGTCAAAGTGATTATTCATATTCAGCACCACAAAAGTATATTGATGAAGATAAATTTAATTTAATGAAAATGCAATTAGAAGAAGAAATTACAGATTTAAGAAATAAAGTCAAAAAATATGAAGAAGGATATAACCAAAGTTTAGGATTATTAAAAGAGTATGATGCATTAGCAAATTATTTTCCACCTCGAGGAGAATTTTTTTGTTGTGGAAAAATTGAAAAAAGTTCATTTTCAAATGATACATACTCTGTAACATTTTCGACACCATTCTCTGAGGTACCAAGGATTATGGTATGTGTATTATATCCTAAAATTATTAAAATAGATGCAGCATTTATTTCAGTTTGTTTAAAGTGGTTTATACTGTTACTAATATTAAACAAATATCTCTTATAAATTTAGCCATCACCAACTGGATTTATTTTAAAGAGCGCTCCTGGGATACCAATATTAGTTGATGGTTCATTTTTCTTTTGGATGGCATATTGTCCAATAAAACCAAAATCAGAAAAATTAAGTCAAATAATCGATAAAATGAAAGGGGTTAAAGTTATAACAGAAAAAGAAGCAGAAACACAAATAAGTAAATACATAAGAAAATATGATATTAATGATGAAGATGCTAATGGAAAAACATTTTTGTATTATGCATGTGAAAAATCTTATCGAGGTCTTGTAGAGATGTTAATTAATAAAGGAGCTAATGTTAATTGTTGTGATGAAAATAGATATTCTCCACTTCATAAGGCTTTAACAGCAGAAAAGATTGATATTGAAATTATAAAAATGTTACTTGACAAAAAGGCAGATAGAGCATTAAAAAATGAACGTATGAATACTCCATTACATTATCTTTGTAGAAATAAAAATTTAAAAGACTATCATGAGGTATTAAAATTATTACTTGAAAGTGGTAGTGGATCAAAAGAAGATACAATGAGATATATTAATGAAGTAAATTCATCTGGAGAAACTGCACTAACAAATGTATGTGCAAATTCAATGGATTTTGAAAGTATTAAAATGTTATGTGATTATGGAGCTGATGTTAATCATCAAACAAATAATGGAATATTCCCATTATATTCAGCTGTAATGAAAGGAAATACTGATGTAATGGAAATGCTTCTTAAATATGGTGCAAATATTGGTCAAGTTTATAAAGGAAAACCATTGTCTCAAGTGGCTGAAGAAAAAGGTCAAATGGAAAAATTAATGCAAATAATTCGAGAAAAATATGCTAATGCTTCTATGAGTGAAGAACAAATAAGAACTACAGCTGAATGTTTTGAAAATATTTTATTCCCAACAGAAATTTGGACAGATAATATTATGAAAAGTAAACCATTACATATAGATATTGAAAACTTACCAATGGGAGCTAAAGTTGAAAACTTCTTTACTTGTACAACACATAAATTTGATATGTTATTAAAAACTAATATACACGATCCTCAAGCATGTTCCTATTATTATCAAAAACATTTCTCTGAAGGAGATCATAGTAACTATATTATTCATACAGACACTGATTTAGCAATTGTTTCTATTTCTGACGATAAGAATATTAAGAAAGTAATTATGAGAACAAAACGATCTGATACAAGAAAGATTTATGAAGGAAAAACTGATCATCAAATTTTAAAAGAGTTATTCCCTGAATATAAAGAAAAGTCAACAGTTGCTATTAGAGGTAAACCAATGTTCAATGCATTATGTAAATTTGAAAATTTTTTCACTTATAAAAGATATAAATTTGGTGTATTATATGCTGCTGTTGGACAAACAAAAGAAATGGAATTCTTTAATAATAGAGAAGGTTCTTCTTATTTTGAACATTTCTTAAATCTTCTTGGAAATAAAATTGAGTTGTTTGGATATCAAGGATTTGTTGGAGGATTAGATACTAAAAACCGTTTAATGGGGGATTATACTATTGTAAATACATTCTCTCAAGGTAATATAGAAATAGCTTTTCATATTTCAACATGGCTTCCTTTCATGGAAACTAATGATCAACAACTAGATAAAAAAAGACATATTGGTAATGATGTTGTTGTATTAATTTTCAAAGAATATGCAGGAACTCCTGAACCAATTGATATTTCTTCATTTAAAACACAATTTAATCATGCATTCATAGTTGTTGGGTTTGATATTACACAACAAAATGCCCCAGAAGATTATGAATATTCTGTTAATATTTGTTGTAAAAAAGATGTTGCACCTGTTGCACCATTTATTACAACTGATAAATATAAATACAGTAATTTATTCTCTCAATTTTTAATTGCTAAATTAATTAATGCAGAACGATCAGCACAAAATTCATTAACTTTCAGAGCAAAAAGATTAACTATCAGACAGAATCAGTTAGAATCTATTATGAATAACTTTGCCAAACGAAGTAATTAAAACATTATTCATTATTTTGTTATTTAAAAAAATCAAAAAATAAAAGAGGTATTAAAAAAAAAAAGATCTGAACTTAAAAATATATTATTTTAACTATGAAAAGTATTGTTTTATTATTCACACTGTTTGTAGCAATTTATGCTCAAAGTGAAATAAGTGGTATGGGTCAAGCTGGTATTGAAGAAGTTAAAACAAAAGTACAGACTATTGAAGATAAAATGAAAGAAGTAGAAGGTTTGGAAAGAAAGTTATTAATGAACGCTGACAATGACATGAATGAAGATGCCGCTAAGCTTGGGTCATCACGTGTTGATCGTGCAAAGTCATTAACTAAAATGAAATCTGAATTAGAACAATTACAAAAGATTAGAGCTCTTCTTCCTCAATTACATTTAAAAATGAAACAAATCATTGAAACTCTTCCAAAGAAAGAACAATTTAGATTAATTCGTAATATGAATTTAAGACATAGATTTGATCTTGGTACTTGGCAAGATACTGCTTAATTCATAACTATTGTTTTCTATTAGTTTATCAAATTTTTTAAATAATAAAAATAACTAACCAAATTAAACTTATATAATTGAACATAAATTAGTAGGTTTTATTCATTAAAAAGAGAAGTAACCATTAATATGCATTTAAACAATTTAATGATAAAATGTTCCTTTACCAAATTTACCAAAACCATTATTTGGTGTAAAAAACGTATCAACAGCATCTCTGGAATTTCTCATATCTTCATCTCCAGTAGAGAAATTAAATGTCATACTTTGATTGTCATGACTCTCAATGTTATTAAGATTTTCTTGACCAATTTCATTCTCAGCGAAGTCAAAACTCATTCCTAATTCATTTCCAATAATATCTTGACTCATAGCTATATCAGGTTTTTGAATTGAGTTAAAATCAAATTGAGGCTCTTCCTTTTTAATTGGTTGTTGAGTTTGAGGAAGTGGAAAATCAGAATTAGTAATTGATTCTTTCTGAATACCCATAGGAGAAACTAATGTAGGTTGAACAAAAAGGCCTTGTGGAACAAGAAGAACTTTTTGTTGATCTTCAATAATTGGTTGTTCACTCATTGCATCACTTTGTTGAATTTGCTCTTCTGAAGGTGAATTAATAGGATTGTTAATATCAATTATTTCTCCTTCTTCAATACCATTATATTCTATTTGATTAGGATTACCAGAAGAATCATTTGTTAATGTATTTGTAGGAATAATTGTTGTTTTATTTAACACAGGTACATTAATAGAATTAATAAGTTTATTAGTTGATGGAACACTTGATTTTATTGATTCTGGAATAATTAGTGGTTGTTCTTGTTGTGTTTTAGGTATAGTTAATAATGTATTACTCATATGGATTGGTTGTTCTTTTATAATTGTTCCAGAAAAAGGATTTGACGTAATATTGATTCTTTGAGAATTTATAGTTGTTTTAACATAATTAACTAAATTTTCATTGCATAAGCAAACTCCTTCATTAAAATGAGAAACTATATAATTATTTACTGCCATACCAATGGGTTCAATATCTTTTTGTTCTATAATAGGTTTATTATCTTTTTTAACCATTATTATCTTTTTCATACGAACTGTTTTTTGTGCTTTTCTTGTATTCTTTTCTCCAAATTCATATCCAAATTTAATAGCTATTTCTACTAATTCATTAAATGCTAATGCAATTTTATTACGTTCATATCTTCTAAGTCTTTGTTCAGACTTATCTTCTTCAAGCATTTTAGATGCTTGTGCATTAATACGATCAGCAAATTGAATAATATTACCATTATAAATAATTGATTGTACTGGTTGAATTTGATATGTTTTTTCAGCACTTTTTTTTTGTTTTTTAATTTCTACAGTAACACCAGCTCGTGACAATAAGTATATAAGTACCGCTTGTTGAAAGGATTCAAGATTCTTTGATTTTTGTTTTGAGATATTTTGTTCATTACGAGGATCGTGATCTTCGTCCATTTTTTATTTTTTGTAGTTTTTGTTTATTTCAAAAATCAAATAGTTTGGTTTGAACATTTATTTTTTCTCTTATAAAAAAAAAATGTAATAAATAACAGAAAATTAAAAATATGTTTTTCTTTTTAAGAAATTGAAAAAGATAACTTGAAATCAAAATAACATAATGCAAAGAGTTGATAAAACTATTTACAAAGAAATACCTGAAAACGTACAAGAAAGTGGAGAAACCTTTCAAAAACCTGATTACATTGGACAATCATCAAATAAATGTAAAAAAATGTACATAAATGATGAGTCATGTTTTGTTTTTTTATTTGAAAACAATTCATCTGTAGAATATCATCAAAGATTAAAACACCCAGAATTAACACGGAGAGTTATGATTGATCTTGTTCCTCCTATTTCAACTCATTTTCATGAGAATACTCTTTTTATGCTTCATCCTGATCGTAAAATATCAATTATTCAATTTTTAAAACAAGGGTCAAATAAGGATTATGTTAATCCAGCCCCTTTAAATTTTTTCCCATCACCAGATTTTATTACTGCGAAATATCTAGTTGGATGGAATGAATATATTGCTGTCTTTAATTATTCTAAAATGATGGTAATTGATCGTTTTAATACAAGTAAATCTTTTACCTCATTCCCATTAACATGTAGTATTATCAAACAATGTGATAATGAATATTCTTTTGGATTTCAAAATCAAGTTGTTATTATTAATAATGAAATCAATAACATTCTTTATCAACAATATGATGTGTCTAATGGTGTTCTTGTTAAACAAGGAAATGTTCCTCAAGCTTATAAAGAAACAAAATATGTTTGTGTAGCTCATAATGATCGTGATGTTGCTGTTGCCTATGAACATGCTGTTTACATATTTTCTCTTGGTGGTGAATTAAAAAATAACACACCAATAGCAATCCCAAGAGCAATATTACAATACACTGATGCTCCTATTTCTAAAATTTATTTAGATAATTCTTTTCTTGTAATTGGAGATATTGTTGGTGGAGCATCAGTTTATACAGCAACAGGTACATTTTTAACTAAAATTGCACCTGAAGATGATATTAAAACAGAGAAAAAAGTAGCACAAAATAAAAGACGAGTTACAGCAATTACTCGTTTTAATCTTTTTGTTGTCATAGGACTTGCTGATGGTAAAGCAAAATTTTTTACTTGGGACTATAGATATAGTGGAATTGAAAAGAAAGAGTGCGGTGGTAAAATTATACGAATCTACCCACATCCAGAATTAAATAAAGTTTGTTTTATTACAGAAAATGGTAGTGAACGACGTATTGTTGGATTGACATATTGGAGTCCAATTGAAAAATCATTTACATTTATTTCACCTTATCTTGCCCATTCACCTGAACTAAGATATGTATCATATATTAAACCATTTGTTGATCAACTTAGAGTATTTGTTTCATGTGACTATCCCAATGAATCAGTTGGATTTAAAAGAACTAAACCAAGATTACGTGGAATTTATAATTTTGTAAAATTCTTAGAACAAGCAGATAATGTTCATCGCCTTCCTTTCCCAGTTAATTTAGTTTGGCAATTAACTGTTGCTATGCAAAAATATTGTGAATTACAAGACGCTATTTTAAGTGGTAAAGAAAAAGATAATTATTTCAGTGTAATTCGTGCAGAAAATAGGGTTCTTGCTCAGATATCTAAAATATGTTTTGTTGATACAGTTTCTATTCCATTAAAAGATCAACCACAATTCCCAGCACATACTTATTTAAATGATTTTACTCATCATTTTGAAAAAGTATTAAATGCTCAAATGTATAAACCAATTGTTAGTGAAAGTGATAAATCAAATTATAAAAATTTCTTATGGAAAATATTAAAAACTTTATTTGATGATTATGTAGATTTTGCTGATGCTTTAGAAAATTTAGATATTTTAATGAGTACTATTAACAGAGATAATGTTTATGCTTTTGTAGGAGCAATTAAGATTTATGGTAGATATATTCAAATTATGCAAGATATAAAAGAAACTGCATGGTCTATTGCTCAAGTGTTAGGAATAAGAGAGACTGATAGATGGTATTATGGAGGTGGACTATATATGGGAAAGAAAATGCCTGAAGTATGTTCTGACCAACCAAATATCCCAGAAGTTGAATTTCCATTGAAAATGAATTAATTTTTTTAGTTTCATTGTTTTTTTTTCCTATTAACAAAACCAATAACCAAATTAAAGAAATAATTTAATTATAAATTACTAAAATTTTATAAATCTTGTATCATTAATTAAAGATATTAGAAAACGTCATTAAAACTAATGCAAAAAAGTTAGCACAAAATTTCAAAACTATTTCATTATGTATATTGAATTTTAGCTTAAAGAGAATTTAACATAAAAAATAAGGTAATAATAAAAAAATATCAAATAAATAATTTTAATAAAAAAGTCTCTGAAATAGTAGTTAAAAATAAATAGCCTTTATAGAAAAAGAAATATGAGTCATTCTTTTTTAAGTATTATTATTATATTAAAATTAAATATAATAATATCAATTAACTTAACTTTAATGTTATTCACTATAACAAAAAATATTATTAAGAATTAAGTATGATAAAATTTTTAATTGAAAACAAATAAGACAAAAAATACTATTAAGTTAGAATATTTTTATATATCAAATTCATATTTATTTGGTTTTTAGTAAATAAACATAACACTTGGTCATATCAATAAATCTACTTGATTTCTATTTAGTATATTACTAGTTTTATATATTATCAACTTTCTTCTAATTTTTTTGATGAAACTATATCACTCTTTGATACACCAAATAAAAAGTAGTACAACAAACATTTCAAAAAACCAGTCAAAAAAGAATAATAACCATTTGGAACTATAAAAGAGTGATAATTAAAAATTATATTTTCATATATTTGGTTTAAGGATTTTCAGAAAAACTAAAAGAAAAACAGATTCATGTCATTTTTATCAAAGAAACGGTGGCATGTTGGTAATTATAAAAACAGATTAAAAGTCGAATTAGCAGAACAAGAAGCTAAAGAGAAAGAAGAAAAAGAAAAAAAACGTTTAAAAGAAATAAACGAACAAAAAGAAGTTTTAGAGTCAATAGAAAAAGAGTTAGGGAAAGAGAAAGCAATTGAAGTAGCACGACAAATCCAAACTTCATTTGTTTATGAACCACCTCCTGGGTACTCAGTTTTTATTGAACAAACAACAGAACAAAAAGAAAAAAAAAGAGAAGAAGAAAAACCAAAAAGAAATAATAATTTTAAAGATTTTAAGAAAAAATTAAAAGAAGATCCAATAAAAAGGTGTGGAGAGAAAGACATTGAGCAACTACTAATATAAATTTGCTTTTTCAGAATTTAAGAAACAAGTTTAATAAACAGAAAATGTTCTGATATTCTAAGTAAAATAGAATTAGTAAATTTAAAAACAAATAAAAAAAATATAAAAAACAAAATTTAAAAAAAAAATAAAGAATTGATTGGTTAATTTACCTAAGAAGTTTTGGTTAAGTTTCAATGGGTTAACAGCAATATAGTTTAAAACTATGAAATTACTTTTTGTGTTTCAACTTTATGACTCCAACTCCAAGACCATCTACCTGTGAAAAAATTAACTTATGGGTAAATTTGTATTGTGCTCAATATATTCCTCTTACAAGTAAGTTTGGAGAAAGAGATTTAGTAGGAGTAATTGTTTATGAAAAACAAAATAAAGGAAATATTATTCGAGTAAAATCAAATATTGAAAGAAATACTCTTAATCCAATATGGAATCGACCTGTATTTCTTGAAGATGTTGTATTTGGTAGTCTTTTATTCTTTGAAATTATTGAAAATAATAAAATAATTGCTAAAGCATTATATCCAGTTCAAAATATTCCAAATAATAAAAGAATGACATATGTCTTACCATTAATAACACCATCACTAACATATTCAGGAATATTAAGAGTAGTATGTTATGAAGGGAATTCAGCTCAAGATGTAGCAAATGTAATATTCAAATTTAGTGATTTAGAAGAAAAAATGCCAGTTTGTAATAATAGATCTCGGTTAGAAATTATTGCAGAAAAAATTACAGGAAATCATTCACATGTGTTTTGGGCTATTGTAAGGAATAAAAAATTATGTTATTATCAAAAAAAACATAAAAGTGAAATACTGAATAATAAATTTATTATGTATTTTGAAATTGAAAATGAAGATTCTTTAGAAATTAAAATTATTGATAAAAATGGATTTCATTATTCGGATTTTATTTCATTTAAAGAAAAACTTACTACTTTTAAAAGAATTGAAACTGACCATTATGTTTATTCTTTAAAATTTATTTTTACTCCTGTAAATAAAATACCACCTACAGAAATATTACCACCTGAATGTCAAGAATTTATTACAGATGATTGGTATACATCAATGGATATTGATGTTGAATCTTTTATTGAATACGAAAATCCTGAAAAACAAACAACTCTTGTTACTGCTGAAACTTTTCAAAATTTTCATGTTGAATATGACTGTGATTGTATAACAGATACTATAGTTGAATCGTGTCCAATTCTTAATAGACATTATTTAGATAAACCAATTAGAGATGTCATTTCAAAAGAAAATAATAAAAAAATTTATAGTTTTGGAGATAGTTGTATTGTTTGTTGTGGTGAATCCAATCAACTAGGTGTTTGTAAAGCAGTTATTCTTAATCCTAAAAATACAATTAAATGTTATTTAAATACAAATACAATTGATGATGATATTGAATCTATGCTCATGACTAATACTCATAATAAAGTAAAAGTAATACCGTTTGTTCTTTTTTTTCGTTAAGCTAGTTTAATAATAAATTTATAATAAATAGAAATACAATGTTAGACAAAATTATTTTTCTTGAAGATAGATTAAACAATAATAAAGAAAAATTTGGAATTGTTGTTGGAACACCAGGTCAAGTTTCAGAAAACGAATTCTTATCAAATAAAGAATCATCTCCACTTGCTTTGGAATTCTTTAATTTACTTGGTCAAACAATTCAGTTAAAAGGATTTACTAAATATAAGGCTGGATTAGATGTTCTTACAAACACAACTGGTACACAATCATTATTCACTGAATTTTGTCAAATGGAAATAATGTTTCATGTATCGACAATGTTACAACATGTTGAAGGAGATGATCAATTTTTAGATAAGAAGAGACATATTGGTAATGATGTTTGTGTTATCATCTTCAAAGAAGGAAATGAAAGTGTTGATATCTCATCATTTGTTTCACATTTCAATCATGTGTTTATTGTTGTCCATCCTGTTGTAATTGATTCTAAAGAATTATACGAAGTTGTTGTTGTAACAAAACTAACTGTTAAAGCTTTTAGACCAAGATTTCCAGAGTCTAAATATTTTAAAAGAGATTCAGCCTTTAGAGATTGGTTATTGCAAAAACTTGTTAATGGAGAACGAGCATCTCTGCTTGTTGATCAATTTATTCAATCACAAAGTATAGCAAGAAAAGGACTTATTAATGAAATTATAGTTAGCTCAACACAAAAAAAGAAATAAACAGTAAAAGTATCATTTAAATAATTATTAATGGATGTTAGATGTTTTAATGAATCAATGTTGAATTCTTATTTCTAATTTTTGTTTATTTGTTTTAAAACCTAAAAAAAAAATCTAAATAAATTACAAGAATTCAATGGTCAAATGTCAACTCTGTGACACTAATCCTGTTTGCACTAAAACTTCAGATGGTAAATTAATTTGTAAACAATGTTTTATTGATCGTGTTGAAAAATTAGTCCATCAATGTATTGATGAATTTCAATTAATTTATCCCACTGACCATATAGTTATTGGCGTTAGTGGTGGTAAGGATAGTACTGCACTAGCAACAATGTTAACTCGAATAGAAAAACGATGGCCATCTGGTGCAAAGTATACTCTAGTTGCTGTTGATGAGGGTATTGTTGGGTATAGAGACAAATCTTTAGAGTGTGTTAGATGGCTTCAAGAATACTTACAACTTCCTTTAGAAATTATTTCTTACATAGAAACTTATGGAATGACAATGGATGAAATTGTTACAAGAGGTGGAAAGAATGCATGTAGTTATTGTGGAGTATTAAGAAGACAATGTCTTGAAAAGGCTGCAATAAAAGTAGGAGCAAATGTTATTGCAACTGGTCATAATGGAGATGATGTTGCTGAAACTGTATTAATGAATTTTTTGCGAGGAGATGTTGCTCGTTTAGAGCGTTGTAAAAGCTTAAAAAGAGAATTAGAAAGAGAAGATGGGATTATCAGAATTAAACCCTTTAGTCTTTTGACACAAAAAGAGGTAGTGTTATATGCTCATTATATGAAATTACGATATTTTAGTGTTGAGTGCACATATGCAGGAACAGCATTTAGAGGAAATGCTCGTACTTTCTTACAAAAAACACAAATTTTACATCCATCAATTATCCGCAATTGTGTTATTAGTAATGAACAAGCAAAAGCTGAATTAAAAAAAGAACAATTAAAAAAGTCACAACGATGTACAGTCTGTGGAATGCAATCAAGTTCTTCTCTCTGTCAAGCATGTAAAATGATGAATGAATTGAGAAATGGTATGCCAAAAATTGAATTAAAATAAATTGATATGGTTTTTATTAATGAATTATTATTTAATATCCTTTCATATTAAATTTGGCTGTTTTAGTAAATGGAGTCAATAATATGATCAGTATAAACATAGTAGGGAAATGGACTATACAGATCACAAAAAATTGAAGCCAAGTATTAAATTCATCAGTAAAACTTCTTGGAATTGATGTTTGTGCACTCACTATCATATAAAAATTTGAAATAAACCTTAAAGATGATTGAATCAAAAATAACACTGAAACAATATCAACACATACCATTGTTTTGAGTGGTGATAATAAAATTCCTGAATAACTTATTCCATCTTTTGTCATATATGATAATATTATTGCATTAATACATGAGATAAACATAATGATACAATAAAATATAGTTAAAACACAATAATATTGCCAAACAAATCCACAATCAAATAAAACATCAATTGCTGGTTGTGTTTTTATAGAGTAATCATAAAAAAAGAATCCAAAAGATGGATTAATTATAATAAATAATATCACATAACATACTTGATTAACCCTTCTACAAACAATAAATAGAGTTGGTTTGTTATAAAGTGATTTGTCAATATAATTATTAATTACTTCGAGTGCAACAAAGAAATATGTTAATTGAAAGAAGTGATTTAAAGAAGATGTTAAGAATGACATTACATTGTAAATAGATGAGTTAATTGGTCCATCTGACTTTAAATCAAAAAAGTCAAATAATAATGTGAGTATTACTGTAATTATAAACAAATACATTGAAACAAAAAATAAATGAATTCGATAATTGATTTTATCACTTTTCATTGTGTTAATTACATGAAAAACACTTACCCCAATAAAAGAAATAATGTGTAATCCAATTAATAACCAAATAGCAACTTGTGTTTGGGAAGTATCTCCCATCTATGTAATAAAAAAATACTTTTTATGTTTTTTTTAATTTTCTGAAAAGAAAAAATTAAAAATCTAAAATGACAAAAAATAAAAAAAAAGGAAAACTTAAAATAAAAGAAATACAAAGTCTAAATTAATAATGAGTATAAAAGATAGAAGGAAGAAACCAATTAGTCTTAAAAAAGAAAAATTATTTTCTGATCACACAAGTCAACAAACAAGAAGTTCTTTAGCAAAAACGACATCATATCATAGTGACAGAGAATCATTACCCACACCCTCAGCGAATCCGAATCCAAATCAGACCTTATTATTTTATGTTTGTTAATTTTTTTTTAGATACGTTGTAGGTTAAAAAAAAATTAATAAAAACAGCAATACGACAGTGACGGATTTGGAGAATTAACAGTTCAAGAAATAAGAGAATTTCTCCAAAATGAAAAAGGAATGTATTTAACAGACGAACATATTCAAAGTATTATGTCGAATGTTCTTATGCAAACAGACAGAATTAAAATGAATGACTTTATTAAGTTTTGTAAATATATTGAAACTGACCAAGAATATTTAATAAATAAATCATCAGTAGATAATAGTCCAGTTTATCGACATGAAGATTCATTATTTCAACAAAGAGACCAAGATAAACCGAAATATTTACAAAATGTTTGTTTTATTATAATAAAAAGGAAATATATAAAAAGAGAAATTAAAAAAAAAATAGTATAATGATAGAAGTTTTATTCATGATAGTCAAATAGAACAAGATATTATTAGTGAGAGCGTTAATTTAACAAGTAAAGAAAATGAAATTAATGTAAGAGATATTAATATTATTCATAATGAAAAACCACATATGTCAAAAGTAGAAATAGAAGAAGTAATGAAAGGAGTTGAAATGAAAAATTTACCAGCATTACAACAAAGTGTATTAAATATGATTTTTAATAAAACAACAGAAGTTCAAAAAAGAAAAATACAATTTGAAAAAGTTAATATGGAAAATAGTGAAGATCCATTAAAACCATATGGAAAAGATTTAACTACAGAAGATACAGCAAATATTTCAATTTTAATTGATGATAATAAACAACAATTAAATCCAAGACAAACATATAAAAATTTATTTGATCATTATGATGAAATGTATAGACCAATAGATGAAAAAGAAACATTATGTGGAAGAAGAGAAGTATTATTAATGAATCCAAATGAAACAACAAGTGATATATGGATGATAGAAATTGGAGATATTGAAAGGAAAGAATGTCCTAATGAAGAATTATTTGGAGTATTTTGTATATATGATATTACTATGGAAAAAAAATTAACAGAAAATTATTATATTGAATTTTCAAAAGAAAAAGAAAATAATAATAAAGATATAAATAATAAAGGAATATTTTGTATTAATTGGAGAGTAGATTATTTTAAGAAAACAGAACATAAAATTAAAGGAGTTCTTTTAATATATAAATATGCAGAAATTGATCCAAATGGAAGTAAAGAAGGATATTTAAAAGAAGAAAAGAAAAAGAAAACACAAATTATTAAAAATCAAAGTAAAAGAAGTAATTATAAACAATTTTTAGGAATTGGAGTAACAGATTTAGGAGAAATATTAATTGGAAATAATTCAAGATTTGAATCAAAAGAATTACCAATTTATAGAGAAGATATTGAAAAAAAACAAGAATTTGATACATTTTTAAAAAGTGATAATAATAAAAGTAAACAATTAAATATTACATGGAAATATTCAATGAAAAAAATATTAACAAAAGAAGCAAGATATGAAAATAAAAATCATGATATAATACAAAAAGAATATTTTATTAAAGATGCATCAGGATATATTCTTCAAAATAGTAATCCAGAAGGAAAAATAATTAGAATGCTTGAAGATTTTACATCTATTGAAAATTATAAAAATTTCTTTATGGATTTTACAAATAATGTTTATGTTACACCAAAAGAATTAAATATTACATCAATTTCACAAAAAGATAAAAAGAAAACAAAATTTGTAATAACATGTTATTTTAGATGTACAGATAAAGATTTAAAAGATCCAAATAATATATTAAATGCATTTTATTCAAGAAAAGAAGAAGATAAAATATTTAAAACATCAAATTGTACTACAGTAAGTATTGGAAATAAAATAGATTTTTATTTAGATGAATTTAAAGTAAAATTACCATTAAATCTTAATGATCAATATCATTTTTTCTTTTTAATTCAAGATGTTACATTTCCAGAAGAACAAAAAAAAGAAACAACATTACAATATTTTGCATATAGACCATTATTTGAACAAGGAAAATTAATTATTAATGGAGAATATAAATTACCAGTATATACATATGATGGAACTACAGGATATATGACATCTACTGATAAAGTAAGAGATGGAATAGGAGATAAAATGTCATATCTTATAGTTGATATTAATATTCATAGTACTATATTTGCAGGAAGTACATCATTATATGAATTATTAGATAAAGTATGTTCATTTAATTTAATTGAAGATGTTGAAGAAGTATTAAGTAAAGTACATAATATTCCAGTTATTCAATTAATGCATTTTTTCCCAGTTATTATGAGTAATTTATTTGGAATGTTTAATAATCATAGAATTAAAAGAAATAATGAAAGAAAATCAGAAGAAAAAAAAGATAAAATAGAAGAACAAGAAACAATAAATACAAGTCCACAAAAAGGATCAATAGTTCAAACACCACGTGGAAAATTTTCAAATGGTAAAAAATTAGAACATGATGTTATTTTAACATATATTCTTAAAGTACTTGCAGCATTATTAAAAGAAGAAAAAGCACCACATAATACATATAGACAAAGAAATCATATATTAACATCATATATTGATTATTATTTTACAAATCCTATTGATGATAATACAGAAGAAATAATAAAACAAATACCAATTTTTATGAAACTTACAAATTGTTTATTATGGTATTTTGAAAAAATATTATATCAAAAAGATACTACAGATCAAAGACTTGTTGTTGTAGATGTTGCTGTTGAATATTGTTGGTTTTTCTTTGATGTTATTATTAAATCATTAACATTATATCTTGAAGAATTAGGTATTTTTGATTCAAATAATAGACTTGAAAAAATTAGACAATTAGGAGAAAATCCTATTTTCCAACAATTTAATTCAGATATTATTGAATTAGGAACTACATTAGCTCAAACTATTAGACTTAGACTTTGTTTATCTAAACAAGAAACAAATGGAATATTTTATTTAAATTCAGATTTTGGATTATTTATAAATGATTTAATTAGAATTTATTCACATACTATTGGATTTGAAACAATGAATAATTATATAAATACATTATCAAGATGTTATGATTCTCAAACAACAACATTATTTGAAGTTGTAGGAGAACCAAATAATGAAAATTATATAGAAATTGAAGGAATTATTCCAAGTCAAGAAAAAAGAAGTAAATGTTGGTTAGCTACACAAATACTTAGAATTGATTTTATAAGTGTATTAAATTCATATGAATATTTTTATGAAGTTAATATTCCATTAATGGTTAAACCAAATTTATTTGAAAGTGTTGGAGAATTAAGATCATTAATTAATGAAAGACATTATTTTGCAAGTAATATAGAAACATCAATTATTAAATTAATAACAAGAAATAATGAAATTTCAAAATATGCATTAATAATTCTTTTAAAAAGAATTATTCTTTGTGATTTAGATATTAGATTTGAAAATAAAAAAGAAAGAATAGCAGAATATTTTATTCCATTTTTATTTGATTTTATAGATAATTTTGAAAGAATTACAGAAATATGGACAAAAAAAAATTTAAAAACAATTGAAACACAAGATCTTTATCTTTGTTTAATTTGGGTATTAAAAAATTTAAATAGAGAAGTTTTAAAAAGATATATTTCATTAGAAGTAGGATCAAAAATAATGAATTTTATTGAATTACTTGTTTCAGCAAAAGAAATTCTTAGTTTTATGGGAGGAGAAATATGTAAAAATGATAATGATAAAAAGAAATATAGAAATATTAGTGGAATGTATTTAGGAATAAGAAAAGAATTAATTAATGAATATATACAAAATTTTGAAGTATCAGAAAATGAAAAATTAAGATTAAATTCAATGTTTGAAGAAAATTTAAAAGAAGAAAAAAGTATTATTAAACAAAGACCAAAAGTAAATGAAAAAAATACACAAGAATTATTATTATTTGGACCATCACCAGGATTAGGAAGTGCAGAAGCATATACTAAAAGAAATAAAAAATTAGGAAAAATATTTGGAAATGATGTAAAAGAAGCACCAATTGAAAGAGATGAAACAAGAGATCATATTATTTATGATGATACATTATTAGTTATTCTTGATATTGTAGAATGTTTATTTGAAGAATTATTTGAAAGAAAAGATATAGATGAAATGAATAAAATTAATAGTTTTATAAGTGATAAAATGTTTGTTCAACCACCACCTGCACAATATATTAAAAGATTTTTCCAATTTATAAGAAAAATAATTAGAACATATGGAGATTATTTATTTAAAGAAAATTTAGATTTTTCATATAAATTATTAAGAGGAATTATGAATTATTGTAATTATCCTGATCCAGATATTAGAATAAATGCAACATCAGTATTTTATTTATTTGTTAGAACAAATTATGAAATTTTAGGAAGTACACAATGTATGAGAATTCATACAGTTGCAGCATTAGCAAGTATTGGAACAAAAGAAGGAGAAAATAATTCATTAATAGAAAGATCATTAAATACATTAGAACAATGGGCAAGAGATGATTTTTCACAAGAAAAATTTCATGGACAAAAAGAAGAAAATTTAAAAACAAAAGAAACAATTGATATTATTGATATTAATGCATTTGAAAATTATAGAAATAAAGTAATTCAAAGAAGATTAAAACTTCTTGAAATAATTGATAAAGATCAAAATGGTGGAGATAGAAAATGGAGAACAAAAGAAAGAGTTATTAGACAATTAATAAATTTATGGAAAGAAGATCCTGTTAATGAAGTTAGTGAATTAGCACAAAAATTATTAAATAAATATGAAAAAAATGTTAAAATAGAAATTACTATTTCAGGATTAAAATTAAAAACAAATAATTATCTTAGAGAAGTTTTAGAAACAATTAGAGATTGTATTGCATTTACAGGAGAATATCAAATAAAAAAAGAAGAATATAATGAAAAAGCTAAAGAATTAAGTAAAAAATTAGATGAACATCAAAAAACATTTGAAGAATATATAGAAAAATTAAAAGAAATAGGATCAAATATTTCTATTAGTAAAGATAAATTAAAAGAAATTATTAATAAAACAAAAGAATTAGTAGAAGCAAGAATTAATATTGAAAAAGAAGAAATTGAAGTTAAAAAAGAACAAGAAAATAAAATGAAAGAATTTGAAAATGAATTAAAAAAAACATCAGAAAGTTTAAATAAATTATATAATGATGCATGTGATAATTTAGCAACAAATAATGATAATGTAATGATATTACTTTCATCACAACAAAAACTTCAACAAACAATTGGAAAATTAAATGCTATAACAGAAATAGCAAAAAGAAATCATAAAGAATTTTTAAAAAAAGAAAATGAAGTTAATTGTATTTCATCATGGAATATAGTATTTAAAAGTTGGAATAATATATTACCAATGGGAATAGAAGTATTAAAAAAAGCAAGTGAAATACAAGATATTATTAATCAATTTGAAAAACAAATATTAGAAGAGAATGAACAAATGGATAAAGAATTATCAGCAAGTGAAGAAATAATTAAAATTTATGCATGGGAAATTGCAATAAATGATGTTACAGAATTTGTAGTAGGTACACATCAAATAGAAGATATTATTGGAATGGCAGGAAAATTAAATCAAAGATTTAAAAGTATTAATTCAAGTTATAAAATAATTCAAGAATATTATGGAGAAAATTATAAAAAAGAAAAATCATTTAGAATGTTTATTGAACTTGGAAAAAAAATATTAATACCACTTCAATTAAGAACAAAATTATTAGGACAAATGAGATTATTAAATAAAGAAAGTCAAAAAGAAAAAGAATATGAAGATAAAAGAAAAGAATATGCACTTTGTTTTAATGTTACAGTTCAATTACTTCAATTTCAAAATGATGAACCAACAACACAATTAATTGAAATATCACAAATTATTAAAAATATAGAAAATATAAAAATACCATTTTATAATAAATATGTAAATCAAGAAGATATTCAAAAAATTCAAGAATATTGTGAAAAACATCCAAAATTTATTATATTATTACCATCTAAAAATGAAGCAGCACAAGAAATTCAACAAAATGGAATAAAAGATGATGAACAAAATAATAAAAAATTTGGAGAAGAATTAAAATTATTAAGAAATCATGTTCAATCATTTTTAAGAGATTTATCAGATTTAGAAATACTTAAAAAAAGTAGTGAAAAAGCTATTGATTTAATTACTGAAAGAAAATTAGAAATTGCACAAAAATATATTGATTGTCCACAAATTCATATTCCATGGTTTAAAATGATTGCAAATGAACATGAAAAAAGAGGAAATTATGTTGAAGCAGGAATTGCTATTGTTCATATTATTCATTTTATTTATTGTACAATTAAAGATAATATTCATCCATTAAATGTAGAATATTTAAAAGAAATTACTAATGATTTCTTAGATTATAAACAACCATCATTTCAAAGTGGTTCAACAACATTAAATACTGATACATTAGTAAATGAAGTAAAACATGGAGTACAATTATTTAAAATAGCACATGTTTATTCATTTGCAATTGCTTTATATAATTTTATTATTCCATATTTTATTTCAAATAAAAATTATTCAGAATTAGCACTTGCACATGAAGAAGTTAATATTCTTTATAATGGAATTACAGAACCATTTATTTGGTATTATTATTGTGTAGGATTTTATGGAGAAAAAGCATTTGAAAAAGATCATAAAAAACAATATATTTATAGAAGTCCTTTAAGATTAAAAGAATTTGGAAATGAAATTAAAGAAATGCGTAAAAAAGATCTTAATGGAATTGGTATTTCACCTGATTGGAAAACAAATATTGAAGGAATTGATATTGATAAATCTACAACTCCATTTTATACAGTTGTTAATGTTTATCCATTTAAAGATGGAAGAAAACAAAATAATTTTAATGTAAATTTTACAGGAGTTGGTGTTTTTGTAAGTGAACAAACTTGTAAAACAGATAAAAAACATCCTGGTTTAGAAGATACTCAAAAAGTTAGAACAATTTATAAAACAAAACATAATATTCCTTCAGTTCTTGAAAGAGAAGAAGTTCAAAATATTATTCAAAAAGTAATGTCTCCAATTGAATGTTGTATTGATGATGTAGATAATAAATTAGAAGATTTATCTACTTCAATTGAAGATTTTAAAAATAAAGATACTAATATTATGTCTTTACAACCAAAACTTAAAGGTATTCTTGTTGCTGAAGTAAATGGTGGAATAGGTGCTATTTGTGATACTTTTCTTAAAAAACCTAATATTCAAAATTATGATGTTGATTATGTTTTAAATTTATATTCATTACTTCAACGTACTCTTTTTACTTGTAAAAGAGGATTAACAATTCATAAATCTAATATGAAACAAGAACATGCAGGTATTCAAAGTGTTTTTGATAGAGGTTATTTAACCACTTCTAAAATTATTAGAGATGTTAAACCTGATGTTTTAGAATATGCAAGATCAAAAGGAGTTAATGAAAATGATCTTGTTCAATTTAATTGATTTCTTTTTTTTATTTTTTATTTTTTTTTTAATAATAAAAACTTAAAAAATAATAATAATAATAATGAATTCTCCTCAACAAACTGTAGGTGGAGCTTTACGTGGAATTGTATCATCTATTCTTTTTCAATTATTACAAAGATCAATAACATTTATTTCTAATGTTATAGTTGTTAGATCTGTTGGTGAAGAAATAACAGGATTTTTTCATATTCATCTTCAATTATTAATGAATATTGTTTATTTTCTTTCAAGAGAATTCTCTAGAAGAATAATTATGAGAAAATATACAAATGATTTATCAAAAGGAATATCATTTAGTTTAATTACTATTATTGTTGGAATTATTATTAATATAATTGCATTTCCTATTCTTTATTATCAAGCACCTAAAATAAAATATACATTAATTTCTTATTTTATTCATTCAACAGGATTATTTTTAGAACTTATTCAAGAACCATATCTTGTTTATATGCTTTTAACACAAAAACATATATTTAGAATTTATTGTGAATTACCAAGTATTTTTATTAGAATGATATTACAAGCAATATTAATTTCATTATATCCAAAATATGCATTAATTATTCAACCAACATTATTTGCTTTATCTTCATTAATAATTTTTATTTTTTATTATCATTTAATTAAACTTCCTCAAATTAATATTCAAATGATTTCATTTAAATCATTAAAATTACATTCAGATAATTTATGGCTTTTTGGAAGACAAACTATTCAAAAATTTTTACTTCAAGAAGGAGAAAAAGCAGTTCTTATTATAACAACAACATTAACAATTCAAGGAATATTTAGTGTTATTTCAAATATTTCATCATTAGTTGTTAGATTTTTATTTTTACCAATAGAAAATATTAGTTATTCTTTATTTTCTAAAATTCGTCAAAATAAAAATGAATTAATTAATGCATTTTGTTCAATTTTAAAAATAATTATTCATTTATCATTACTTATTCTTGTTTTTGGTCCTCCTTATTCAAAAGCTATTCTTGATTTTTTATATAAAAATAATGAATTTACAAATAATTCTTATTTACTTATTATTTCTTTTATTACTATTAGTACTATAGCTATTAATGGAATATCAGAATCATTTTTTCATGCAACAGCAACAGATAAACAATTAAATACATCAAATAATTTGATGTTTCTTTTTTCTATTATTTATGTTTCTTTATGTATTATATTATCTAAATTATTTGGTCCTTCAGGTTTATTTATTTCTAATATATTTTCTATGTTATTACGTACATTTTATTCTTATTATAATATTTATCATTTATATGGTAATTTACCATGGAAAAAATGTATTCCAACTAAACTTACTTTATTATCTTTATTTTTAATTTTTATAATTAATATTTATATTTCATTTATCTTTTCAACTCAATCATTTCTTTGTTTAATTCTAGGTATATGTTTAGGATTTATTGAATTATTAATTATTTGGCTTTGTGATAAACCATTTATAAAATCACTCAAAATGTTTTGGAATGAAAGGAAATAATCTTTTCTTTTATTGATAATTGATCTTTTTTTTATTAAAAAAAAAAAAAAAGAACTTTTAAATAATATTTTTATGTTTATTTTATTTATTACTTATTTTATAAATATTTTGATGATTATTATGCCTATTCTTCCTTATACTCAATTTTTTTTATTTCAAACTAATCAACAACAATTTAAATCATTTAGTATTGGAACATGTTATATTTTATTAATAAGTAATGTTTTTAGAATTGGATTTTATATTGGAAAACCTTTTGAAATTTCATTATTAATCCAAAGTATATTTATTATTATTACTATGTTAGCTTTATTATTTTTATCATCTAAATTACTTCATAATCTAATATATTCAAAAGTTATATCTACATTTATTATATTTACAATTATTATTATATTTATTTCTTTTATTACAAGAAAAATTAATTTTATTGTTCAATGTATTGGTGGATTATCAACTTTAATTGAAATTCTTCTTGCTCTTCCTCAAATAATTAAAAATTATAAAACAAAAAATGCAGAAGGATTACCACTTTCTACTATTATTGGTTGGATTATAGGTGATTTTTTCAAAACTATTTATTTTATTGAATTAAATGTTCCATTTCAATTTGTATGTTGTGGTATTTTTCAATTAATTTGTGATGGTATTCTTGTTTCTCAAATATTAGTATATTCTCCTTTTATTTTTAATAAACAATGTTTTATTCCTTTAAAACAATTATTCAGTTTGTTTTTATTTTATTTTAATAAAATTTATTAATGAAGTTAGAAAAAGGAATAATAAAAACTAATGATGAACAAGAAGAAAATTATAATGGATTGTTGATTAATGATAATTGATATTTATGAAAAATAATTAAATTAATTAAAGTATAATCATTATTATTAATCCTATACTGATAAATAATAATGAAGATGAATCATAAACACAATCTTGTTTTAATGAATCAAATACCCACATTTCTTCACAAACATTACATTGAGTTGAATTACATTCTAAACAATTTGTAAAATAATCTTTACATGAAATACATAAAGTAGATGATACTAAAACATAATCATTTTCACATTGAATACATCCAATTGTTTGTTCTTCATAATTTAAACAATGTGGAATAGCCATTTCAGATAAAATACAACCAATATCTGATGAATGAACATATCCTTTATTACATAATTTACAACCATATTTATCATGATAACATTCAGAACAATTTGTTGTTATAGAAGAACATTTTGAACATATTTTTTTATCAATTAATGTTGATTCTTTAGTACATAATAAACATATAGTTTCATTTGTATTTAAATCAATTCCACAATTATCACAATTTTCAATTTCACAATTTGGATAACATTTTCCTTCATTTGTTTGACTTAAATGATATCCTTCTGAACATTCTATACATGTTGTACTATTACTACAACTAATACATCCATTTATTGTATTACATTCAATACAATGATAATTATCTAATGTTTGTGAATTAGTACATTTTGTAATACAAAGTGTTGTTCTTTTATTATTATCTAAATTTACAAATTGTTTTTCTAGTGTATTATCACAACTAGAACATCCAAGTGTAGATAAATCAGTTGGAATTTGGTTAACATAAGGTGATATAGTTAAACATTCATTTTCAAATGAAATACATGTTAAAACATAATCTCCATTATGTAATTTAGTAGCTGTTTGAATTGGTTTTTCTGTTGGACAAGAAATACATTGTTTTAATATAGGATCACATCCACTTTCATCATCACAACCAATACATGTCTGTTGACATCCAATAAATGATATTTGGTTTTCAATTTTTTCAATTCTACTAAACCCTAAATAACATTGAGAACAACCAACGTTATAATTACTTAAATCAGTAGAACTATTTACAAAAACCTCACAATTAGCATCTGCCCTTATACAAGTAATTTTATTATCTGAAGTTTTACCAAACATAAATCCAATTTCACATTTACTACATCCACTATCATTTGATTCAATACAATGATTAAGTGCTAATGAAAATGAAATAATTAGAGTGAATAGAATGATAGACATAATCAGAAGATTTGAATAAGAATAAAATGATTAAAAAAAAAAAAAAAAAAGAAAAAAAAAAAAAGGGAAAATATAAAATGGTTTGTTATAACAATTTTAATAATTATAAATAATAAAAAAAACTAAAAAAAGAAAAAAAAGAAATGAAGAAAAATTTAATTAATCTAATGAAAGAGTATTAATTTGTTCTTCATATTCTTTTGGATCAAGTGAAGAATATGAAATAACAAATCGAGCTATTTTCTTAGATTGAGTTTGTAATGCAGATTTAAAAATTGCATTAATTGGGAAGAAAGTACTTAAATATTTAATACCATTTATTTTACCTTGTTCATTAAAGTTAAACAAATCTTTTAAAACTATAGCAAAATCAATTGGTTGTAATAAAAGATAAGTAGCAAGGTATGTTGTAACAAAATCACAAGGAAAATGAGAATCAATAAGATATTTTCTAATTGTTAAAGCAATTGTTTTTGTTTGATCTGTATGATCTTCAAATGAATTTTCAATATAATATGAATAAGGTGGATCAAGAATACCATTTTCTAATGATAATAAAAATGCATTTATATGATCAGCACTTCCAATTTGAGTAATAATAATTGGAATATCATCAAGAATTTGATTAAAAGCATAATCTCTAATAAAATTATAATTAATTTTATGTCTTCTTACAATTTCAAATGTTTGTTTATAATCTTTTTTTTTAAGTAAATCAATAATAATATCAAGAATAACTCCTCTTGGATGAATAACTTCAAGATTTCCTCTTGGCATTTGAAAAATAAGTTTTGTATCATTTGGTACATAACTAATAATACTTGAACCACGTTCAATAGATCTAATAAAAATTGAATGTTGTTTTATATTAATTGCATGAAGTGTATGGTTTAATGTAGTATAAAAAATATAATTATTAGAAATAAAATAAGAATTAACATTTTCACCTATTTCAATATTATTATCATAAAGTTTATGACCAAATAATGAAAAAGAATGAATTTTATTATTAAATATAACTATAGAATATTCAGGTATAAATTGAGATAAAGATAATTCTGAATTAATAATATAATTATTAGGAGTAATTTTTTTAGAAGTAATAATTATTCCATTAAATAATTGGAAATATAAAATATCATTAATTTGAGTAAGTGAATGAATTGGTGATGGAAGATTTGTAAATTTTATTTTATTATTATTACCATTATTAATATTAATAATAATTGATGTTTGATTTGTAGAATCAATAATAAATAATTCAAATGATGAAATTAAACAAATATTTGTTGGATAATCAACAGGACATTTTATTTCATTAATTTTATTTATTTGATTATTAATATATTTTAAAATATGAATAATATTAAATAAATCAATAATAATAATATAAGGTTCATTATTAATTATTTTAGAATAAATGTATTGAGTTGATTGAATTGGAATTGAAATATGACATAAAGGAGGTGGTATAATTCCTTTATTTAAATCTGTTAAAGAAACATTATTATATGTATTTGGATGAATAATTATATTATATATTGAATTATTTATAGAACAAATAGGTAATAAAAAATTAAATATTAAATGTTCATTTGTAGATGTAATAATATGAAATTTCATTGGATTAACTTCATCCCAAAAAGTAGTTCTTATTGATAAAAAACATTTACTATATTTTGGAATTAATTTACCATAACAATAACAAGAAATAATAAGAATATCATTAAAAGGTGTTGAAACTATTTGTAAAAGTAATTGAGATGTTGAATTCCATATTAAAATTTTAGTTTGATATTCATTTGGTTGATTGAATGTTTTATAAATATTACAATTTTCTTCAATAAAATTTAAAATATTATTAGTTGCTACAGTAATAAATTCATTTGATGGTCTAATTGACATACATTGTGGATTAGAAAGTATTATTTTATTTCTAATATTAAAAGTAGTTGATAATACAATCATTTCATTTTTAGTTAAAACAACAACATATTGAGTATTACTTGAAAATGAAACATCAATAATATCTTTAATAGAAAAAGAATTAAGAAAAGAAAATTCAGGAGTATACATTAATAATTCAGATGAACTTATTAATAAAATAAAATTACAATCATCACTTAATTTAATTCTTTTAATTCCTTCTTTATTTATTTTTAATGTTGCAATACCATTAGAAATTGAAGATTCATAAACACCTTTTTCATTAATAAATAATAATTTTGAAGTATCTGCATTATAAACAATATCATAAATATTATTAGGAAGATTTTGTATAATTAATTTTGTTAATATACCATTTGTTTTATATGAATAAATAAATGGATCTTGATAGAAATAAATTTCTTTATCATCAGTATTTAAATTAGATATTGTTTTAATATTTGAAAGACCAATATCTTTTTTTTCAATAGAATGAACCTGTAAATGAAACATGAAATGAAAGAAAAATAAGTTAGTTCAATAAGAACCCTTTTTTCTTCTTTGAGTTTTTTTTTTTGCTTGTTTAAAAAATAAATTTCAAAGAGAATAAGAAGAAAAAACTAAAAAGAATTACCAAACAAAAAATGTTGAAGAGAGCTACTCATTCAAGACTAACTAAAAGTTATGATTATAGTTTAACTATAAAAACGAAATCTGTTGAAGAACAAGAAATGATACATCTTCAACAATTTATTGATATATTATCTAATGATTTTGTAAATAAAAGTTTGTTATTATAAAAGAATATTTATAAAATTTTGTTAATTATTTAACAAAAAAAAAAAAGAAAAGAAAGAGAAGAAAAAAAAAAGTGATTGAAATGTTTTAGGACAATTATCAAAATTATCAAAAAATGGGATTGCAAAACAAGTACGAGGAAAAGTATGGAAAATACTTATTGGATATATTCCATGTGAAATTAATAAACAAAAAGAAAATTTAAATAATAAAAGAAAAGATTATATTATTATGACAAATAAATTACTTAAAGGAGGATTAACATTTAATGAAGAAAAATGTGAAGAACAAATTATTAAAGATTTAAATAGATTAACACATGATATACCATTTTTATTTCATAAAAAAATTCAAGAATTAATGAAAAGATTATTATTAATATATGCAATTAAACATCCAGCATCAGGATATGTACAAGGAATGAGTGATATGATAGTACCATTTTTAATAGTATATATTGATGAATATTATTTTGAAAGTTATGAAAAAAAAATAATTGATAAATTTAGTCAAAAAGAATTAGATGAATTAGAAGCAGATGTTTATTGGAGTTTTTGTTGGATATTACAATCTATTCAAAGTCATTATACATATGATCAACCAGGAATTCGTAATGAATTAAAAGAATTAGAAATATTAACAAAAAAATATAATAAAAAAGTTGATGAACATTTAAAAAAATTAAATATGCAATATATTCAATTTGCATTTAGATGGTTTAATTGTTGTTTAATTAGAGAATTTCCTATAGAATTATCATTAATATTATGGGATGGATATATTTCAGAACCAAATGGAAATGGATTTGAAGAATTAAATTTATATTGTTGTTGTTCTTTATTAGAAATATTTAGTAATACTATTTTACAAAAAGATTTTACTGATTTAATTGTATTTTTACAAAATTTACCAACTAAAAATTGGACAAAAAATGATATTCAACAATTATTATTTAAAGCATATGCTATTTATACAATGGAACATTTAAAATAAGAAAACAAAAATTATTATTTTATTTAATTTTTATATTAAAATTAAAAATAATAAAAAATAACAAAAAAAAAAAAAAAAATGAATTAAATTTGTGTTAAATCAGGAATTCTTATTTTTTGTAATTCAGTTAAAACATTTAATGGAATATTTGTTGGTAAAGATGGTTTTGTAAATGTATCAATAGTATAATTAGGTAATGTAGCAAAAGGAGATGGATCTATAATTTGAGGTCTTTCACTAACTTTTTCAACATCAAGCATTGCTCTATATGTTGGATTTTTTGGATCAAGTTCATGAGCACGTTTAAATGAACTTGCAGCATCATCTCTTTGATTATGAAAAATATATAAAGAACCCATATTAAACCATACTTCAGGTAATTGTGGTGTTAAACTAATAGCTTTAAAATAAGCTTTAATAGCTTCACTATATTGTTCAGTATGATAATATAAATTACCAATAGAACACCAATACAAAGGATTATTATGATCAAGTTGTAATGCTTGATGGAATGCATCAAATGCATTTTGTTGATGTTTACTATCAGCAAGAATTCTTCCATAAACATAAAGACCAAGAACATTTGTTGGATCTTTTTGAATTACTCCAAATACAATTTGATAAGGGAATTCTTCTTCAAAATGAAATACTTCATTAACACTTGGATTCATTACAATTAAATGAGTTAACCATCCTAATAAAATATAAACAAATGGTGGTTCATTTTCATTAATAAGAGAAATAGCTTTTTCATGTGCATCTTTACCAATTTCAATTGAATCAGTTAATTGGAATAATTGAACTAATTGACAAAGAATATCTTGTTGACTCATTCCTTCTGGTGGATTATTCCAACATTCACTTGTTAATATTTCAAAACATTCTTCATATTGTGCATGTTGTTTATAAATCATTGCCATTTTAAAATGAAGTTCTGCTGCATTTTCTGGATAACTTCTTTCTAAAACTCTTTTATAATATGCTTCTGCTTGTTCAAATAATCCTGCTTTTTCATATAAACAACCTAATTGAAACCATAATTTAGGTTCTTGTTTAATAAATTTATTTGCATTTTTTAAACAACTATGTGCTTTATTTAATTCTTGTAATGCAAGAAAACATTCTCCAAGATTCATCCAAGCAATTCCATCTTCTGCATTTATTTTTAAATATTTATCATAACTAAATACTGCATTAATATATTGTTTTTTTAATTTATAAATATGTGCTAAATGTGAAAGTGCTTCAAGATTAGATGGATTATGATTTAATGCTGTAACATAACAACGAATTGCTTCATCATATAATTCTTCATTTTCATTAAGAATACCAATAGTAAACCATAATTTTCCATTTGATAATTTAAGTTGTTCTGCAATATTTTCATTTTGTGTAAAACAATCCATTTGTTATATAAAAGTGAAATATTGAGATGAACTTCAAAATAACTTTAATTATTGTTATTTTGTGTTTTTTAATTTATTTATTTAACCCTAAGGGTTTTCTTATTTTTTTTTTTTTTATCTTTTTAAAAAAAAAAAAAAAAGAAATAATGATGAGTGAATTTGAACAATTTCACCCAAGTTTAAGAAAAGAAACAATTGATACAATTAAAGAATTTGGATTTATTAAACCTACTGAAGTCCAAAAAGTTGTAATTCCAGCATTTTTAAATAGAAAAGATGTTATTGTTCAAAGTCAAACAGGAAGTGGTAAAACATTATCTTTTTTAATTCCATTATTTGAAATTATTAAAAGAGAAAGAGAAATTATTGAAAAAAAAGAAGTATATGGTATTATTATTTCACCTACTAGAGAATTAGCACATCAAATTTATGATATTACTAAAGTATTTTGTAAACATTTTAATATGACAATTGGATTATTAACAGGAGGAATTGATATATCTAAATTAGAAGAAGAAATGAAAAAAGGAGCTAATATTATTGTAGGAACTGCTGGAAGAATTGAAGAAGTAATTACAAATAAATTATTTGAATTAGAATGGAATAATGTTGAAGTATTAATATTAGATGAAGGAGATAAAATGATTGAAATGGGATTTTCACAATCTATAACACATATTATTTGTCATTTACCAAAACAACGACGTACTGGATTATTTAGTGCTACAATGCCAAAAGAATTAAATAAATTTATTATTGCAGGATGTAGAAATCCATATAAAATACAAATATCAAATGATACATTAACACCAATTTCACTTGCAAATGAATATTGTATTATTCCATATGAAATAAAAATACAAACATTAATAAGAATATTAAAAGATAGTAAAGATAAAAAAATTGTTATATTTGTATTAACATGTGATCAAGTAAATTATATATATAATATAATTAAAATTTTACATCAAGAAGAAGGATATTTAAAAGAAAAAGAAATATTTTCAATTCATGGAAAAGTAAAACAAATAAATAGAGATAAAGTTATTAAAAAATTTGAAGAAAGTTTAGAAGCTATATTAATATGTACAGATATATTAGCAAGAGGAATGGATTTTAATAATATTAATTATATTATTCAATATGACCCACCACAAGATCCTAAAACATATATTCATAGAGTTGGAAGAACAGCTAGAATGGGAAGTATTGGACATTCATTAATATTTCTTAGTCCTTTAGAAAAAAGTTTTATTTTATTAATGGAAAAAAAAAATGTAAAAATTATTGAAAAAAAAATTGAAAGAGATAAAGAAGAAGAAAAATATTATTTTAATAAAATTAGAGAAATATGTTGTAAAAATCGTACATTATTTAAAAAATCACAAAATGCATTTGTATCATTTTGTAAAGGATATGGAGAACATCAATGTAAATATATTTTTGCAATTAAAAAATTAATTTATAATGAAGTAGCTAAAGGAATGTGTTTAGTTAAAATGCCTAAAATTCAAGAAATAAAAAAATTGAATATTAAATATGATGAAGAAATAAATATAGAAGAAAATGAAATACCATTTGCAGATGAACGTTTAGAAAAACAAAGACAAGAAAGAGGTAAAAAAAGAAAAGAAAAAGGAATATAAAATAAAAAAGAATGAAATTTTTAATAAATTTAATTTATCATTTTTTTTTTCTTTTTTTTTTTTAAAAAAAAATGATTTATTTCTTTGGATGAGGTTTAAATGTTTTAGATGTTTGTCTTTTCATTTGAGAAAGATTTGATTGTTGATGAGAAGATGGTGGAATAGATTGATTTGAAATAGGTATTTTTTTAGAAGATTGATCATGTAAGAAAGATTGATCATGTTGTAAACGTTGTAATAAAGCAGGAGATGATGCACCTCTTCTTAATAATCCTGTATGATTTGATTGTTTTAATGCAATCATTTCTGGTGTTGGGAATTGTTCATTTTGTTTATCAAGTTGTAATGCTTTTTCAAATTTAGTCATATTTTTATGATATGTTTCTGATAAAATAGCTCGATATTTTTCTTGATTTTCTCTTATTTTTTGTGATTTAGCAAAAAGTTGTTGTGTTTTTTGTTTTAATCGTGTATCTGCTGCTACATCTTCAATTGTTTGTTGTTTTTTATCTTTAATTGAAATAACTAAATCTTGTAAAATTCTAACACAATGTTCTAATAAATATGGAAGTGAAAAACTAAATCCATCTTGAAATTCTGGAAGTTGGAATGGATGATCTTTCCATAAAAATGTTTTAATATCAAATGGTGAATTTGAAATTGATAATAATGCTCCTTGATTATTATATTGATCACAATAATTTGGTGCTGAAAATATAGTAAAACATAATGGAAGTGGACGTTCAATTGTTAAAAATGTATGTTCAAAATATCCTTCATCTTGAACTTGATGACCTCTAACAATACTTGCAAGATTATTTCTTTGTAAAAATGGTTCTAATGCTCCTCTTCCATAAAAATATGATGTATGTCTCATTGTATTTTCACAAAATGTAATTTTACTCCATTCATATCTTGAAATTCCTTCCCATTCTGGATCATCTGGATCCCATTCATTAATAGGATCTGACCATAATAAATCTGTAAGTGGACCTTGTCCTGGTGGTTCCATAAATCTATTAATATTATTAATATCATTTAATGTATTAATATCAGGTCCAATTCCTCCATGCATACAAAGTACTCTTCCATTAATATTTCCTTCAATTAATGCTGATAATGGTAATGAATCAAATAATGTTAAAAATTCATTATATATTTTCATATTATATTTATTATTACATTCTAATAAAAATGTCATATATTCACACATTAATCTTGTTTCATGATTTCCTCTTAACATAAAAACTCGTTCAGGATAACATATTTTATGTGCTAATAAATAAAATAAAACTTCTGCTGAATAATCTCCTCTATCAACATAATCCCCTAAAAATAAATATTGTGTTTTATTTGGACTTCCTAACATATCCATAACATTTAACATATCATAAAATTGTCCATGAATATCTCCTATTATTACTACTGGTGCATGTACTATTAATAAATTCGCTTCTTTCTTAAATATATCTCTTGCTTGTTTAATAATTGCAATACCTGCTTCTTGTGTTAATTTTCCTTGTCTTATTAAGTGTTGTCGAAGTAAAGGTAAATTAGGAAGATGGTTTTTTCCTGAAAATAACATATTCATCGGTAAATATCTATCTTCTGGCATAGCAATATTTTCAATTCGATTCTCCATTGGTGGGTGTGGTGAAATTTCATATTTCCCTTCTTTAATTAAATGTCGGATCTGTGATATTGATTTGCATGGCGTTGATGAACAAACACTTTCCGGTCTTGGAGGGAGTTTAATCTTTTGCATTACTACTAATTCTTTTTTTTTCTTTCTTTTTTCATTTTCTTTTTTTTTTTGAAAAGAGAATAGTTTTAAGTTTTTGAATAATAAAAAAAATAAACAGAGAGAAAACACAATGATTAAAACTGGAGTATTTGAGTTGTTTTCAATTTCTTTAACAGACCACAATGAAATAGAAATATTCAGCATTCCTGGATCAGGAGAGATTCAATTTATGAATCAGTTAATATCAAATATTCTTGAATTAAATGAACAAACGATTGTTTATTTTATTAATATAATACCCCAATTTGATTTGTATGATTTATCGAACAGAATTCGTAATGAAGAAAAGTTTAAAAGAGTCAAAATATATGAGTGTTATCATTCATATGATGAATTAGTGGCAGTACTAAAGTTAATGGAATTTATAAAAGATTATGGGGTTGTAATAATTAATTCAATTACAACTGAATATAGAAAATTATATAATATATCATTTGATCATTTATATTCTTCAATTCATAATTTGGTCAAAAGAATCCTATTATTTATTTTAGACAAAACCAACCTACGAAAGCTGAATTACATTATTTTAAAAATTCATTAATTGGTTTTTATTCTTTAATTAATTCAACTTACAACATTGATATGTATTCAACGACTCATCGTTTTATAATTGAGTCAATAATAATTGATGGAGAGTATCAACAAGCATTAAGACTTTATGGTACAAAACAAGTATATTCATTTGAATGTTCTCAACATGATTTTAAAATTAATTGGAAATATTAAAAATAAAAATAAAATAAATAATTTTGGAAAATAGTGTTGTTATAAAACTATTCTATTCATTTGATTTACCTTATTTGATTTTACAAATAAATACTATTTAATTTAGTAAAATTTGATTTTTTTTATTAATTTCTAAAAATATTATAAAACAAAAAATCATTTAAGTAACTTTAATAAAAAATTAATTAAGTATTAATAGAATTTATTTCTATTGTTCCTGGCTCATCGGAGACTAATCCCGTCAATGAGTCTTCGTCATGTGGTTCAACAACGTATGTTTAGTTGTGGTAGAAACAATGTTCAATGGCATCATCGTGTTTTTAGTTACATGATTTTTAACTTCTTTTATGATGTCAATTTCATTTTTTAATTGTTTAATTAGTTTAATACTTTCTACATTTATTAATTAATTTGTTGAAATTACTACTGTATTTATTTTGATATCTTTTAATTTCTCTATTTTAATTATCATAATCTTCATTTCTTTACTTATTTCTTTTATTTAAATATATTCTATTATTATTGTGATCTACAACAATAGTAATCAATTAATAGATCAATTTTATTCTTTTTATTTATAACATACATATCTAATATTTTATGATATTGCATCACTTTTTAATATTATTTGTTTATTCAATATCATAATAATGTATTTATATTGGAACACTGTTTCATATGTTGATTTCATATATTGTTTGTTTCATATATATTTTCTTATTAACCCCTCCCATATGATAATGTCAATATTGTCATGTTTCTCTATTTTTGATTTTTTATGACAAATACAAGATAGTAGAATGTGTTCTATTATTGATATATTGTATGTGCAAATGGATAGTATTTTAATCATTTTTTAATATTTTATCTTTTCTGTACATATTGAATAATGCTCTATATTGTATTTTATTTAAATGGCAAAATATATTCTTTTTAATATTAATTGAATTCAATGTATTGATTATAGTAGTTTTATCTATAAATTTTGATTCAATCAATATTCTAAAATATCCATTTATTTGATTTCAATTTATTGATGTATTTGTTTATCATTATTTTATTTTTATTATTATTATTTCTTTTTATTTTCATTCTTTCTTTTATTATTTATTCTATTTCTATTTCTTTGATTTTATGTTTTATTATTTTTTATTTATATTCATTATTCATTTCTGAATATCATCTATCTAATATATTATTTATTATTTCATTATTGTACAATACTACATTACTATTCTAATTATTTCATTAACAAATTCATTATTCATTTTTATTAATCATTATTTCATTTATATTGATATATAGATTGT